GTGAGAAGCCCACACCTAGGGATAGCTCATGCCTGGCTGAGCCCTTAAATCATCTTCGGGGGCAGAGACAGCCCACTTCCTGCCCCTGGATGGAGGTGGGGCTGGGTTTCCAGCCAATCCGGGAAGCAGGCAGCAGGCCTCTCTCTTCCCCACAGAGAGGGCAGCTTTGGGACTAAGGATTAGGGCCCCGGGGTGTGTGCTGTGTTCAGGCTGGCTTTCCCAGAGCAGGCGTGGGGCGTGCCCACCCCTCTCTCCCTGAGGACTTTGGTCCCTGTTCTCCTCCGGGTCTCAGTTTCCACATCTTTAAATGGAGGTGTCTGACTGGATGAGCTGATCTCGAGGTTGTCTATGGGCTGCTCTGCGTCCTGGGACCTCAGAAGGGAGCCTGGCCTGTGACAGCAGGGGCTGTGTCTGCTCCCTGCACTGCTGAGTCCTCAGAGGAGTAGCTCAATAAATAGCTGTCACACGAATGCATGAACTTTCTTCTCTTTTGCTCTTTCTTGCCTTAGACATGGCTCTGGACATTCGCTAATGTCTTGGGTACGTGCCCACATGGGGGTCACCTGTCCCTCCGTGGGCAGCTGGCGACACGAGGGGAAATAAGGAGGTGGCAGCTTTTCCCATGAGATTTGCAGCTGGGGTGACCCCACTCGATACCATTCCTGCTAGATATTCCTTCTCACCTAAAGCCAGCAGACAGCGTGTCTCTGAAACAGCTTCTTGGACGGTTAGCCAGAGCTCCCCTGTGCCAGGAGCAGTATTTGGAGGACAAAGCCCTTATCTTCAGGAAATGTAAGACTGAGTGGGGGAAATAAGACAGGAATGCCACCAAGTGTCACATGTCTGGTTGCTGTGGGTGCCGTGCTGGCTGCAGAAACCAGAGAGGGAGGCAAAGCAATGGGCTGGCACTGGATGGAGGAGGCCCAGAAGAATTCTCCGCCGGGTCATCTAACAACGAGAAGCTCGCATTTCCTCACTTGTAACAGGGAGGGAAGAGTAACCTTCCGCCTGCCGGGAGCTCCTGTGGGTCAGGTGCTTCTCAAATACTAACTCCTCTAATGCCTATTTTACAGTTGCAGTCACCGAGGCACTGAAAGGTTGAGTAACTTTCCCAAGGTCACACAGCCAGTCTGTGGCAGAAGTAGGGTTGAAACAGGTCCACCTAATTCAAAGCCTTTGCTGGCGTTTCTGGGGAACCCTGCTGGTATAAAAGGGATTTTAGAAAGCTGATTATGTAGAAACGTGAAGCCCTGAGGCCTTGAGGCTAGTCTGGAGAAGGCTCCTGGGGATTGCTGTGTCAAGCAGGTGTCTCTGAGGGTGGAGGGCTGACAGAGGGCCCGGGTCCACCGTCTGGGGTGGGTCTGCCTTTCACAAGAGACCCCTCCCCTGTGAGGGAGCCTTAGGACCCTTTGGGAGGCGGTCAGCCAGCCTGGGCTCCAGGCCCCCTGTTGTCCAGGGAGAGAGGGAAGGAGGGAGGAGCCTGATCCAAGATTCAAGCAAGGAATGCTGGGTTAGGAGCTGGGGGATGAGGTCTAGGCCTCAACTTTGCAGATGAAAAATCTGGTGACTCTGGATAAATTTTTGAGAACTAGAGCCTCAGAGGGCTTTGCTGAAGGAAACTTAGAAGCCATTTCAACGTAAGGCCCACAATGAATCACCATATGTACCCCCATATGTACACCATGTGTACAATGAATCAGTGGTAGAGCTAGAGATCCATGCAAAACTCTTCCCTTCCCGCTGCGCTGGGCCTTGGCCTTCTGGGTCTCAGTTTTTCCCACGTGTGAAATGAAGGAGTTGGACGGGGAATTTCCTAGGACAATTTAGGCTTTGACATTTTGCATTGAGCCCCCGAGCTTTGGAGCTCACATGAGGCCAGACAGGCTGACCATCAGACCAACAGCTGCACAGGCCTAACCACTGTGGGATGCAGGCCCATCCACCAGCTGGGTCTTGGGTGACAGGAGGCCTGAGAATGGAGAGGACAAGAGAGAAGGCCCTCTGAATGGGACAGTGCTAACACTAGCCTGAAAGGGATTGACCAGGCAGTTGTTAAGGGTGCAGACCCTAGAGCCAGAGGTTTGAATCTTGGCTCTGACATACTCAAGTTTGGGCGATGTAGTTAACCTCTCTGGGCCTTCGTTTCCTCATCTGGAAAAAGGATACAATAACAATAGCAGAGTTGTTTCAAGGACCACTCTACATGCATGTAGAGTGTCTCACACAGTATTCACAAATGTTAGCTAGTGGTATTTTATTATCTTTTAACACATACAGAATGGAACCCTCAGAGATCAGACACCGAGTTTGCAGCAAGGCTCCAAGACACCAACTGGTGGGGTAGAGAGAGCCAGATGCCAGGTTATGGTGACCTTGGACGAGTGACTTATCTTCCCTGAACCTCAGCTGCCTCATCTATAAAATGGGGCGAATAAAACCCCTCTCCTGTTGTTGCGTGACAACCTGTTAAGCTCAGCTTCCTCTGCAGGGGTCACTCATAATGGGGCTTTCCCTCCCCTTCCCTGGAAACGTTATAGCACAGGTGATTTTGCCAGAACGCAAAGAAGGAAGCTTTAGACGTGTGGGCAGTGCCTCAGCCCCAGCACTCTGTCCTGCCCCGTTTGGACAAGGGCTGGGAGAGGAGAAATGGGGTCCCCAGGATGGGTCTCTACCTAGCTCCCTTCAGTAGCACTGGCATGTGTCCCCCTGCCCCATGGGCCCTGGGGTTCACTTTGAGTCAGAGGAAGGCATTCCCATGCCAAGGCATCACATACCCTGCTTGGGACGGGTGCAGAGGGGCCGTGCCCTGACCCCGTGAGGGAGGCATGTCCTGGCCACCGTGGGGCTTTGGAGGATCTGTGGTTATTGTTCCTCTAAGAGGCGTTGGCTAAACTTGCTCTTCAGCCCCAGGAGGATTGTCATTCCAGGTCTGGCAGGTTCCATTAATTACCTTCTTGGAGGGCTCCTGCTTTGGGCTGAATCACACGTTTTCAGAGAGAGAGAGCTGAGCCATCAGTTTGGGCAGGAGGGCAGGGCAGGGTCCGGGGTCAGCCTGAGTCCCTGGCCTCCCCGTGGTCTTAGAGCACCGCATCCCGGCCTGGCTCTCTCCCTGGCACTGACACCCACTGGGGGAGATGCAGGCTCACTTCCCTACCCATAGAAAACAGAGGCCAAGAAAGCCCTGACTCCGAGCCCTCGTTTCTGGTCTTGCTGAATCAGCGAAGGGGCTTCCAGGACAACCTCAAGCCTGTGTCATCTCACTGCAGCTCCTGGCCTATCCCACCCAGCCCCTCAGGCTGCTGTGGGCGGGCAGCTCCCTGGAGGCCATTCACGGCAACCTTGGCCCCCTTGGTGAGTAGAGGCTTTGAGCCCAAGTCCAGTGTCCTGCATTCGCAGCCCTGGAACCTCTCCTTCTCTCCCGGGCTTCTGAGAGGCCAGCTCAAGGCCCGTTTCTTTTTTCTTTCAGCCTGAGTGGTGAGGCCTCCTCCGCTGGCTTCCTAAGCAGACCCTGAGTTTCAGTCACATCCCAGGCTCGTCGGCAGAGACCCTGGCCCCAGGCTCTGGGTCACATCCTCTGTGTGGCCTCTTGGTCAAACACTCACAAGCTGAGGCAGGTGTCATGTGGTTGGGGGGCTAGAAAGACTTCCTTTCTGGACGTGGCTATGGCTCTGTGGCTGCTATAATGGAGTAATTAAACCCATGGGCCAGGCTGACCTAGGGCTTTTTGACCTCGACACTACTGACCTTCTGGGCTGGAGAATTCTTTGGGGCAGGGGCTGTCCCGTGCAAAGTAGGATATTTAGCCGCATCTCTGGTGTCTATCCTCCAGATCCCAGTAGCATCCCCCAGTTGTGACAACCAGAATGTCTCCAGACACTATCAAATGTCCCTTGGGGAGCAAAATAGCCCGTGACTGAGAACATCCGAATTGATCTATGGTGACAGAGTTGGAATTATGGGTATGTTAGGGGCACGGGGTGTATGGGGGGCGATTGACTGGGAAAAGGTGCAATGAGCTTTATGGGGTGCTAGAAATGTTCTGGGTGGTGGTTACACAAGTAAACACATGCTTAAATTTTCATACGTGGGTAAAAATGCATTAAGCTGGATGCTTATGGTTTGTCCATTTTACTGTAGGAAAAAATGCCTAAAAAATTGAGCCTAGTGTAGACAGGACCAGACTTGGGTTTCAGTCCTGACTCTGCCCTTGAGGCTCAGTTTCCTCCTGTGTAAAATGGGAATAATAGGAGTACTCACCTTATTGGGCTGTTGCAAAGATTAAATGAGGCAGTCAATATAGATTTCTTAGCCCAGTGCCCGCATATGGTGAGGGATCTCAGGGTGTTAGCTATTATAATATGCAGGGCCACTTGCTCTTTCTATGCCTCAGTTTCCCCAGCTGAGGAGACTGTGTTGGACGGTCCCTAAGGTCCCTCGCCGCCATGACTTTACCTGATGGTCTTGGAGCCATTTTTTTCTCAGCCTAAAAGCCTTCAAGATTGTTGATTCTACAGGACCAAGCAAAACTCGTCATTGTTGCTGGGAGCGCTGGAGTAGATGAAATGCTGAGAAAGACGCAGAACATTCCAGTCAGACCTTTTAGAAACAGGAAGAAGGGAGGCAGAGGGCTGAAGTGACAACACGGGGCCACTTTGCAGCCACCCTTCCTCTGCAGAGGCTCCCTGGCAGACTGGTGCAGCTCAGTCCCGGTTGTAACATTGGGTGGGGCCGATGGGAGTGAGTTCCCTAAGTGGAGAGGTGAGACAGAATTCAGTTTTCAAAGGGTAGTCTCAAGTAGAACACTGTTCCCTCTGAATCATCACTTTTGTTAAGGATTAAGAAAAAAAAAATGCCCCCTCCCCCCATGGCACAACCCACCCTGGAGAACAGAGGTAATGAGCTTGTGGGAAACAGACGTGCAGTTGGCACCAGTCAGAGGGTGGGGAAGGGAGGAGAGAAGATGGGGCAACCGTCCAACCCCCTGGAAGGTGTATAAAAGGCATCCACTCTGGGGAAGAGCCACAGTCCTCAGCCAGGCCAAGCCAAGATCCTACCGCACCAGTGCTCTCTGCCCATCTCACTCTCACCATGAGCTGTTTCCTGCAGAATTCCTCCGCTAGCTATGGGGGTGGCTCCTGCAAGCTGGGAGGAGGTCGCAGTATCTCTAGCGGCTCAACCCGGTTTTGCTCTGGGGGATCAGCTGGGGGCTTTGGGGGTGGCATAAGCTGCGGCTTTGGTGGAGGGGCTGGTAGTGGTTTGGGTGGAGGCTTTGGAGGTGGCCTTGGAGGTGGCAGCTTTGGTGGGTGTTTTGGTGGTGGCTTTGGTGACTTCGGTGGAGGATATGGTGGTGGCCTTGGCGTCAGCCTCAGTGGTGGCGATGGCGGCCTCCTCTCTGGCAACGAGAAGATCACCATGCAGAACCTCAACAGCCGCCTGGCCTCCTACCTGGAGAAGGTGCACACCCTGGAGGAGGCCAACGCTGACCTGGAGGTGAAGATCCGCGACTGGCATCTGAAGAAGAGCCCAACCAGCCCGGAGCAGGACTACAGCTCCTACTTCAAGACCATCGAGGACCTCCGGGACAAGGTGAGTCCTTGCAGGTCGAGGAGGGTTCCTCTGAGCAGGGCAGAGACGCAATGGCCAGGAAAAGCAGGGTCCCCAGGGACCAGGAGATGCAGTGTGGGCAGAATTCTTACCCTTTCTCTGGGGGAAAATCTAGTCTTTTACTGCATCTCTTTTCCTGATGGGTTTTCTCAGGCTACGCGTTCTCTCCCATTATTCATTTTTATTGTTCTTACTCATGCCAACATTTTTTGCTGCTTTCTAGTTATGTTATTACTGACTTGATCTCTATAATCCTAACCCACTGGGTCATTTGGAAGCTGTGCTGGGTTACTTGGAAGTTTTCAAAGCCACTAAGAATGGCTAAAACCAACAGAGAAAGGAATGCATGTTCATTCATTGGTTTGGGAACACTATTTTCTAGGGGCCTCCTTTAAACTGGCATTCTCAATTGGCAGCGACCAGGTAGGGGAGATGCAGGCAGAGGCTTAGGCAGTGCTAAGCTGAGATTCTCTCCGTTAAGGCCTGTCCATCACCTTGTGATGTCAGCTTGTTGGAATAGAAATCCATCTGCCTGGGCTGAGTCCCAGCTATGTGGGGTGGATTCTAAATGCTTTGGTTTAAATGTCTAACAAAAGTTTAGAAGAGAAATTCAAATGGATGGGAATATTTGTTGGAATTCCACCCTGCTCAGAGGGGAGGCCAGCTCCGGTGATGTTATTATGAACTGTGGGGGGCCAGGCTGATTCTGTCCTGATCTTAAGGAGAAGAAAGGCCCTCAAGACAGCGGCCACGAGAGGTTGCCAGTCTGACGCTGCAGAGATGTGACTAACCACAGATGTTCTTGGTGGGGTCGTTCCCCTGAAATGTACATCCCGATCTTTCCCACCATGACCAGACATAGAATGATGGAGTGACAGAACAAACCAAGGGGACCCGTCGTCCTGTCTCTCACTTTACAGAAGAGGAACTGAGGCCCAGAGAGGAGTGCCCTGTCCCAGCTCGCAGGGGCAGAGAAGAGGCAGAGTCTCATGGCCACCCGTCCTGCCCGTGTTTTCTCAGTCCTGCTCCCCAAGCTTGTGGACCCTCCAGCGGTTGGTTACCTTCTGTATTTTGCAGATCTTGGCGGCCACCATTGACAACAACCGGATCATTCTGGAGATTGACAACTCCAGGCTGGCTGCCGACGACTTCAGGCTCAAGTGAGTTTATTTCCCTCATTCCCCTTTCCCAGCAGTTATAGTTTTAGACAAATGCCCCTCTGAACAATGTAACCAGAGCATCCCAGGAGTGAAGGTCTTGCGGAAGTAGCAGAGTCCAATGCAGGGGTAGTGGAGTGTCTAATACCATTTCTTCCTTCCTTCCTTCCTTCCTCCCTCCCTCCCTGCCTTCCTTCCTTCCTTTTTTTATTGGAGCAGAGAAAAGTTTATTGCAGGGCTAAGTAAGGGGAATGAGTGACTTGTGCTCAAAAACCCAAACTCCTAATACCATTTCTATGTGTTTTTTTTTTTTTTTCCGCGGTACACGGGCCTCTCACTGCTGTGGCGTCTCCCGTTGCGGAGCACAGGCTCCGGACGTGCAGGCTCAGCGGCCATGGCTCACGGGTCCAGCTGCTCCGCGGCATGTGTGATCTTCCCGGACCAGGGCACAAACCCGTGTCCCCTGCATCGGCAGGCGGACTCTCAACTACCGCGCCACCAGGGAAGCCTTCTATGTTGTTTTTTCAATTTAAAAATCCTTTAGGTATGAGAACGAGCTGGCCCTGCGCCAGAGCGTGGAGGCCGACATCAACGGCCTACGCAGGGTGCTGGACGAACTGACCCTGATGAAGACCGACCTGGAGATGCAGATCGAGAGCCTGAACGAGGAGCTGGCCTACCTGAAGAAAAACCACGAGGAGGTGAGAGGTGGGCTGTGCTTGCCATGGCTGAATCACCTTCAGTGATGAGGGGAGCCCTCTGCCGCTGCCAGGCTCAGCCCTCCACTGTGGGACCTGGAAGCACTTTCCAGAACATTCCAGTAGCATTCAGAGCCGAGGAGGGCCAGGCTGAGGAGCTTCATGCATCTTCCTTTTCCATCCCTACAGGAGATGAAGGAGCTCAGAAACCAGGTGGTCGGCCAGGTCAGTGTGGAGATGGACGCCACCCCAGGCATTGACCTAAGCCGCGTGCTGGCAGAGATGAGGGAGCAGTACGAGGCCATGGCGGAGAAGAACCGCCGGGATGCCGAGGAATGGTTCAACAGCAAGGTAGCTGGCCCTCTAACCTCGCTGAGCCGGGGGGTGCTCGGGCCCTCCAGATGGGCTCTTCCATCACCTTGGTCCTGCTTGAATTCCAGAGTGAAGAGCTGACCAAGGAGGTGTCTTCCAGCACTGCCATTATCCAGACCAGTAAGACGGAGATCACGGAGCTCAGGCGTACGCTCCAGGGTCTGGAGATTGAGCTGCAGTCCCAGCTGAGCATGGTACACCTGCTGCCCCTGCCCAGCGGCTGCCCCCTCTAGGCCCCTCCCCCTGGCCCGGCTCCCCTCTGACCTTCTCCTCTGCTGCCCCACCAGAAAGCCGGGCTGGAGAGCACGCTGGCGGAGACCGAGTGCCGCTACGCCCTGCAGCTGCAGCAGATCCAGGGCTTCATCAGCAGCATCGAGGCCCAGCTGAGCGAGCTCCGCAGTGAGATGGAGTGCCAGAGCCAGGAGTACAAGATGCTGCTGGACATCAAGGCGCGGCTGGAGCAGGAGATCGCCACCTACCGCAGCCTGCTGGAGGGCCAGGACGCCAAGTAGGTCATGTGGGAAATTGACTGCAGGACCCTGGGCTGTCAGGCCCTTGTGTCTGGGAGGAAAGGACACCTGTCTGAGCTTCAACAGCCTGGACCAGGATCCAGGACCAGCGCTTCCTTCTTGTCTTCTGGCATCAGACCGTAGGGGCATTTCCGTTAACTTTTTAATTCGGGCCTCCAGGTTAGACTGGCAGGACTAGGGACTATGGAGAAGATATCTCATATTGGAAAAGTGTTAGCTTGGATTCAGGGCAGCCCAGCAGAGCTGTTAAAATAGAGATTTAACTGCCTTCAGACTATCTGTGGGGGTCAGGCCATCCTTGTGGGATCAAGGGAGGGGAGGGGTCGAGTGCAGCACAGGGAGGACAAAACACCCAGCGAATGCCTAATATCTCCTCCTGAGGCTTCACAGACAGACAGCACAGGCCTGGGAGTCGCCTGACGCTGCTGCTCTGTGGGCTGGGGGCACAGCTGGGAAAAGAGCCCAACTCAGGGGCTCAAAGTGATGATCTGAGAGACTCCATCTGAGGACAGGTAGGCGGCTGTCCTCAGTTGCCTTCCGCTCATGGCTGCCTCTCTCCTTTCTCCCAGGCTTCCCGGCTTCCCCAAAGGAGGTAAGGAAATAACCTAGTGGGAGAGGTGATGAGACTCCTGCTTACGGCCCTGTGGGCGGGCTGGGCGGCAGCGCTGGGTTCCCCAGTGTAGGGAGCGGGGAATGGTACTGGAGCAGAAGTGGTCACCTGCTCCTCTGTTTTCCTTTCAAAATAGGTGGCTCTGTCCCCACAGCCCCACAGACGGGGCTGTCATGGAGGCAGTCCCCCAGACAATAACACAGAGTCCCCATCAACTACCCACCACGCCACCAGACTGACTAGGGGTTTGGGGCCCTCCTGGGGGGTCTGAGCTGGCCTGAGTTGGGTCTTCTCCAGCCTGAAGTTCTTTTGCCTCTTCCATTGCCCAGGAACCATCAGCAGCCAAGGCAGCACCATCTCTACTAGCGGCACCACCTCCACTCGCCGCGTTTCAGAAAAAAATAGGCCTTAAATCTGCCGGGCAGCCCCTCGCTCTGTCTTCAGTGCCCAGAGGAGAGAGCTGACGGTTCCCTGCAGGAGCAAAGGAGGGACTGCAGGACCCGAGGCTCGGCCACTCCGCTCTCAGCCCGCACCCTCCCAAGGGCAGCCACTTCCCGCCCTTCTCTCTGGGTCTGCTTTCTCTTCCCCCTGACCTGCCTCCTCTGATTCCTCAGCTTCTCTACTAAAAAGAAAAGCTAATTCAATAAAGTTTCCCACTTTCTTGCAAATGTATTTTTGATTCTGGCTTGGTTTTTTAGGGTGGCACCTGCCAAGACCCTGACTGGGGGCGGTGGGGGGAGGTGGGTGGGTGAGATCGGGCTGAACGGCCCACCCTGACGAGGCCCGGCCCAGAGAGCTCCCAGATGGGAGGGACACAAGGCACCTGGGCCGACCGTCAGCCACGGGGTCGATAATGACAAACACAGGGCCACAGGTGGCTCACGGGTGATGGCGCCCTGCAAACATGGACATGCGGGAAAGAGGTACAGAGGGCTTGCGGCAGAATGCAAGGGGCTAGTGCAGAGCTGGTGTGGGGAGAAAGAGGCCTAGGACAATTACTCCAGCCCCAGCTACTGCCTTCCTGCTTTCTGCGGAGACAGCTTCCTTTGGACGCCCTCACCTGCAGTCCCCCCACCCCTCTGCTTGCCCCAAGGTCCTGTCATTCCAAGCCACTCAGTGACCAGATGCACGACTCAAGGAGTGACCTCAGCCTGGGCTGATGGTGACCCTCCTCCCCGCCTCCCCCCTGGACCCCTGTTCCCCCTGCTTCTCTGGACATCCCAGCTTACACGTGCAGCCTCCTCTGGCTCTGCTTACTCCTCACGGGGACGGGTCCCCTGGATTCTGACGTAGGCAGTCTTCTCTTTTGCTTCTTCGCCCCGCCCCTCCTTGGGCCATCTGGGACATATCCATGGTCACAATTACCAGTATGTCCTGATGACTCTTCATCGAGGTCGCTCTCCTCTGTTCCAGTCTCACATGCCCAAATGAGCCGGCCATCACCTCCTCAGATCCACTCATCTGAAGGAGCATCCCTCCTTCTCCCAGATCTGGGCCTTCCTGGTCCTCCATCCCAGAGGACCCAGGAATCCAAGCCAGGAGCCTTGGTTCCTCTTGGTTCTGTCTCTCCTTCACCCCCCCTCACAAGTCCATCCCGTGGATGCTCATGTCCTCAATGTCTTAACTTGCTGGGCAGGTTGCCATGGCCTCTGTGGCCTCCCTGGCCTCCCTGCCTCCAGTTTGAGCTTCCCCTTTATCCGTGCTTCACACGCCAGCCAGGGCCATTGCTGGAAACGGAAAGTCCTCCTGGCTTAGAGATGCTGCAAAAGCTCCCCACAGGCCACTGAGGAAAGTCCAGACTCCTCACCAGCCAAGAGGCCACCGGGGTCTGGCTACTTCCGGCCTCTCTCTGGCCCTAATTCTACACTGGCTTCTCCCCGCCCACCCAGAGGTCCTGCAACTCCAAACTGTTCTCAGTGAGCCAGCCACATGGCTGGACCCCTCAGGCCCTTGTTCAATGAGTGACCTCCGTTCGATCTGAGCTTCCTCTAGCTTCCTCTCCTATTCTCTTTGTTTTATTGGAGACCACCAGATTTTTATTCAACACTCTGACTGAGATGGACACCCCCTCCTCTGTGGCACCCAGAGAGAGTGGGGTGCACTCAGGTGTTGGCACATCTGTGCCCTCCTGCCCGGGTATTGACCGTAGACTCGTAGACTGTGTGTACTGAGGGAGCCGGGCTGCGTCCAGCCGACTGCTGGGGCTCAGCCAGTGCTTACTGAGGGGAGACACCAGTGAATGAACTGGGGGAGTGCCCCTCGGATGCCATCTGAGTTTTGTCACAGGGTAGTAGGCCAGAGGGTAGGGGGGTTCTGCCACTCTTGCCCATTCCCTGCCCCTTCCTCATTTCCCCTCCCCCTCCCACCCCCCTGTCCGCATCGCCACTGCCCTCCTTCATCTTTCTCCACCCCAAGCCTGCCTGGGCACTGGGCAGTTGGTTTAGTCCACAGTGGTCGCTCAGAAGTGACCCGCCCATCGTGCTAAGCCAGGGGAAAGGTGTCACCATCCACTCATCCCAGATCCCACCCCCCACTGAGGAACGAGGTGCGGCTCAGTTGTCATCCACATGCCCAGAGCTGTGCTAGGAGCTCAGAGATCAAAGACAAAGAGGACATGACCTCCACTCCCAAACCCGGTTACTTTTTTTGTTAATCTATTTCATCAGTAGCTGTTAATTGAGTGCACCGTGTATCAGACACTGTATTGGATCCTGGAGAGAAAGAGATGTGCAAAAACTCAGCCTCTCTCTTTAGGGAGTTCACAGACTGGCGGGCGGTAGGAGGTGACACCCGCAACAATAAATTATTGCCATCTTCAAAGCTCAGTTCAGGGTTCACATTCTGCCACAGATCTCTGCTCTTTCCCTACCACTCCCACCCTCCCCGGTATGTCCTCAAGGCCCCCTGTACTGATGGCCGTCATGGCCATTATTGGAGGGCAGGGCGCGATGGCCACAGGCTCTGGAGCCGCGCTATCCTGGAGTGTGTCCCATCTCTGCCACTGATTCCATCTGTAACGCTGGCCAAACCACTGAACCCTGTGGGCTCACTTTCCTACCTGCTAAGTACCACCTCCCTCGGAAGTTATGAAAGTCAAACGCTTAGAACAGTCCAGGCTCGTATTAAGTGCTCAGTAAATTAAGCTTTGTTGTCCTTTTACCTTCAGGGCAGGGATCGTTTGTCCTCATCACCATCCTCCTAACTAGGCTGTTGAAGGAGCTCAGTAAATGTGTTGGATGGAGCAATGAGAGCTGACAAGGAAGACAAACTCTGGGTAATGAAAGAGGTAGACAAGCACACTGTCCTGTAGACGTGAGGGAGGGGACTGGGCTGGAGGAGGTCCTGAGAGCTGAGCCCCAGGGCTGGTGCACGGCCCTCCCAGGCCTTTCTGGGCTTGGAGCAGCCCCTCTTCCCGAGACCCAGGCCAAGGCTGTGTAGGGAGCAGGCCCCTCCTTTTCCGAACCAGTGCTGGGGGGCTTGGTGGTGTGTGGGGTTAGTTGCCCATGTGGAGCAGTGAAATGAGATGCACCCCGGGCCTGGTAGGGGCTCTGGCCTGGGACCCTTTCACCCAGACCCCGGGGAGGATACCCGAGAAGCTGCGTTCCGCCCGAGGATCTCTGTGGCCCTATCAGGAATCCCGAGGAGGCCTGGAGGGGACCCTGGGGTGGGGGGTGGGGGTGGGTGTTTCTCTCAAAGCTAATCCGGGAGACTTCCTGAGCTGGACAGGGGTGGTGACCTCAGGGCTCTGGTCTGAGATGTGGGAGAGGCTTGGGGGAGGGGAGGGCAATCTGCTCTTTCTATCCAGGACTCTTTTCATCCCCTCAGTCATCTGCATGGGGCGACCATTCAAGGGAGGGCGGCTTTATCAGTCCTGCTTGGTCAATACTGTCCCTCCCTGGGGTTGGCCAGGTGCCCACGTGCCCCACCCCTCCCCCAGGCTCAACACCCCTGCTTCCCAGGGCTGTGAGGAACAGCCCTGTCCATGGAGGCTGACTAACCTCTATGTCAATGGTTGCCAGTTAATGCAAAAATGCCAAAATAGAGGGTTTGCCAATAAAGGGGAAAGTAACGTGTTCAGCATTTGTCTAGGGCTCTTTTTTTTTTTTTTTTGCAGTACACGGGCCTCTCACTGTTGTGGCCTCTCCCATTGCGGAGCACAGGCTCCGGACGCGCAGGCTTAGCGGCCATGGCTCACGGGCCCAGCCGCTCCGCAGCATGTGGGATCCTTCCGGACCGGGGCACGAACCCACGTCCCCTGCATCGGCAGGTGGACTCTCAACCACTGCACCACCAGGGAAGCCCTAGGGCTCTTTTTTATTCTTTATTTCATTTCATCTTTACAACAACCCCGAGTTGGCACTGTTGCACCCATTTTACACATCTGGAGATTGAGGCTCAGACTGGTTGAGAGACCTGCCCGGCAGGAGAGCCGGGACCCACATTCCAACGCGCTTTCCAGGACTGTGGCTGGCCCTCGGTCAAAGCCAAAGTTTCAGCTCTGGAAACTGCGGCAGAAGCGGGCTCTCACTTAAGCCCCAATGCTTAGGGGACAAAGTCGTCACCGTGGAATGTGCCCATAGCATCCCAGTGCCTCAGGGCTTGGGAGGGATGTGCCTCCTCCCGGCAGTGCTGCACGAAGGTGGCTGATTGCTGTGTGACTCCTGGCTGCACAGTCAGCCTCTTCCTCACGCCAGGCACGAGGTGCCTCCCTCTCCCAAAGGCTCCACCCTGGGTGGATGGACCAGTGCACCTCTGCTTTCCCTAATGGGGTTGTGTGTCCTGCCTGGGCCCTGCAGGGGGCGGGCTCACTCCAGAAAGCATGTCAGTGGCATTTTAGCCACTTGCTGTGACATGGAGTGGAGGGACAGGGTACTAAACCTGGTCCCGACATGAGACCCTGTCCAGTCCCCAGCCTTGAGTGGGGCAGCTGGGCAGCAGGCCATGGCTAAGGGCGGGGTTGCAGCCCCGAGACCCCTCGGGTGCCTGTTGTCCCTCTGTTTTGGGGAGCAGCCTCGAGGGTCCACAGAAGACCCTGAGTATGATGAGGGTGCCTGGGGCTTCCTAGTAAGGGGAATCTCACTTGAGGGAAGAGAGGAAGAGATGTCACAGGAGGGCTGTGGTCCACGTACTGTCCCAGCTTCCCCATGTCAGTGGCTGTGCCCTTCTTCCCTCCTGGCCTGGGACAGTGCATCTCGGGGTGGCTGGGACCTGCCCCCTGTTAGATGGTGTTCCTGGAGCTGTTGGGGGCTGGAGAGGAGCAGGGTATGCAGACCGCATCCTTCTGAGCAGCTTGTCCTTGGGGGCTCTCAAAGAGCTGAGCACATCAGCCTCTCCACCCTCCTGCAGCGCTTGGGAGGGAGCAGGTGTGCGGGCACCTGTAGGAGGGGGTGGGGATTTGGGGGAGTTGGCAAGGAGCTGGTATTCACTCTTTCTGGCCCACTTTGATGAACAGCCATAATAACTCTGTGGCTTCTTTCATCCAACTCATCTCAGATGAGTTTGAAAGTAGAACCCCCAGTATAAATCCTGGTTAATTACTGCCTGGAGCCCATAGTCTGTTTTGCAGACAAAATGTCGTTAGCAGGAAGAGAGTGAGGTCGACTGCAACACCAGCCCCTGTAAATGCAGACGATGGAATCCAATCAAACAGGGTGTTTGGGGAACTTGTTCTG